CTTCACCATTAATTGTTTCACGAACTGTGTTTCTGTATGTGTGGTATTACATATTAAAGGTGAGTGATCCTAAGGATACTTCCCCATTAATTGTTTCACGAACTGTGTCTGTGTTTCTGTATGTGTGGTACCACATATTAAAGGTGAGTGATCCTAAGGATACTTCCCCATTAATTGTTTCACGAACTGTGTCTGTGTTTCTGTATGTATGGTACTACATATTAAAGGTGAGTGATCCTACTGATACTTCACCATTAATTGTTTCACGAACTGTGTTTCTGTATGTGTGGTATTACATATTAAAGGTGAGTGATCCTACTGATATTTCCATATTAACTGTTTAACGAACTGTGTGTATGTATGTGTGGTATTATCTACAAAAACTTTAATGACTGATGTAAGTTATTTGTGTATAATTTCAATAGAGAGTTTTAAAAGGTCCTGAACAACTAGACTGAACTTGTTTTTCTGAAAATTCATTTGTTTGGTTTTGGAATAGGTATCAATGTGCTATCATCGTGTTACACACAAACATAAGTTACAGGTATCAATGTGCTATCATCGTGTTACACACAAACATAGATTACAGGTATCAATGTGCTATCATCGTGTTAAACACAAACATAAATTGCAGGTATCAATGTGCTATCATCGTGTTACATACAAACATAAATTACAGGTATCAATGTGCTATCATCGTGTTACACACAAACATAAATTACAGGTATCAATGTGCTATCATCGTGTTACATACAAACATATATTACAGGTATCAAGGTGCTATCATCGTGTTAAACACAAACATAAATTACAGGTATCAATGTATTATTACTTACAGGTTACAAGTACGTAATTTTGACCAACTTCGTTTATTAGCATAAAGTTTTCAGTAAAAGCGTCTTTGTGTTTTTATATCTAAGAACAATAAACCAAATACGAAGGACTGGCGTGAGTGTGTGGTTTCTTATGAATTTGGCGCAAAGCAACACGAGGGCTATCTGCGCTAGCCGTCCCTAACTTAGCAGTGTAAGACTAGAGGGAAGGCAGCTAGTCATCACCACCCACCGCCAACTTATAGACTACTCTTTTACCAACGAATAGTGGGATTGACCGTCACATTATAACGCCCCCACGGCTGAAAGGGCGCGCATGTTTGGTGTGACGGGGATTCGAGCCCGCAGATTGCGAGTCGATCGCCCAAACCGCCTGGCCATGCCGAGCCGCGTGAGTGTGTGAAACAATGATAAAGTGTGAAGCGTGAGGTCAAGTGTTTGAGACACTCAGATAAGATATTAACTCGAAATGTTTAACGTATATTACATGTAATACGCACAGCCACGTCAGTGCGATTAACCAAAACTTCAGCTATTATTAATAGTTATCGGCAGCCAAAGAAGAATTTCAAGGAGTTCAAAGTGCACTTGAAAGATGACCTAAACAAAATAATTTTAACGAAAATTTGTCTCCTCATAGCAAAGTTATGTTACTGATTATCAATAATTTCTGATGACTGAAACAATCTAACTACACAGATCAGAGCTAAAATTTAACCAAGTAATTATTACTTCTAATTTAATGTATCGTTCTAAGTTACAGTGATCAGAATGCACTGATTCGCCGGTTGATTATGTTCGCTTTCGGCGTAGTGAATGACATTAATTTGACATGTTGAATTGGGTGATATCTAGGTGGAAAAATCTGCAACTGAGCTTAACGATCAAAATTAATACTTTGTGCATATTTCGTGAAATTCTTCAATTATTGGGTCATAGCTTCCACAGTGCTAGAGTACCTTTTTACCAAAGTATCTGACCCCAGACCAAATAATAGAAAATAACCAAACAAAAAAGTATAGGGAACAAATATTAATAATGGGTTATATTTGTGATAAGAAGACGAAACTGGCCGATATAAGTTTCAAATGACCGTTCTCTGTGTAATAACAAGTTTAACTGATTCGCCATGTAGGGGTACGATCCGCACATGTGGGGCAGTTGCACCCACCTGGTAAATGAAAAACATAATTCTTTCTTTATTCATTCAACATAAATTATTCATAATTTTATACTACTTTGCCCTCCGTGGAAAAATCCCCCTACCCCCCGGAAAAAATTTCTGCGGATGCTTATGGGTCTGCCTCCGACAGTTGAAAGTAAGTGTGCCATATACGGTGTACGGCTTGCAAAAATTCCGCGCGCGTTTAGAGCAGCCGCGGTCAATGGGTTAATTGCATCTAAAACACTTAATCCAACTGTAAAACATATATTAACTTAAATGTTCTGGTAATCCTTTGGCCATCAAATTACTTAACGCTTAATCTACTGAGCAACATATATTAACTTAAATGTTCTGGTAATCCTTTCGTCATCAAATTACTTAACACTTAATCCACTGAGCAACATATATTAACTTAAATGTTCTGGTAATCCTTTGGTCATCAAATTACTTAACGCTTAATCCACTGAGCAACATATATTAACTTAAATGTTCTGGTAATCCTTTCGTCATCAAATTACTTAACACTTAATC